TTTGTTAAATACTGGCAATATGAGAGGCACTGCAAAAGAAACACGTGAAGACATGATTGCTGCTCCTAGCCGATTAAAATCTAAAAGCAGCTTATAATACTGAAAACCAATAACTGTCTCTCGCAAACAAGCTTATTCATCAAAACATGTATTTGTTTTGGTTTTATGTCTATAAAGATGGAATGAAATGTGTTATTTGTATGCTCTGAAAATATACCAATAAACCATAACAAACATTCTGTACTTTTATTAGAAGTTACAGTAGTATGATAGCAAGAAGAGTCCTTATGTAGTAGTATGAGAGTAGTATGATAGTATCAGAGGGGTAGCCGTGTTAGTCTGGATCTGTAAAAAGCAACAAAGAGTCCTGTGGCACCTTTAAGCCTAACAGATATATTGGAGCATAAGCTTTCGTGGGTGAATGCCCACTTCGTCGGTTGCATGGCACCCACGAAAGCTTATGCTCCAATACATCTGTTAGTCTTAAAGGTGCCACAGGACGCTCTGTTGCTTTTTAGTAGTATGACAGTGTATCAAGGCCTCAATGGAGATAGGGATTTCCTAGTCCTAGGCACTGTATGAACACATAGTGAAAGACAATCCCTGCCCTGAAAAGTTTACAGTTTAAACAGACAATGGTTTGGGTGGGAAGGAACAGAAGCACAGAGGGGTGAAGTTACTTGCCCAAGGTTACACAAGCAGGAAGCAGGTCAGTGATGGAAGTGGGAATAGATTCCAGTTATCAGCTAGTTTCTGACTGGCTGAACCACATGAAAAGTTTGTTCTCTGAACCAGTTAAATGCAGCTGTCAGTCTGCTTGGGCTGCCATTTTTCAGCTAAGCAAAACTCAAAATAAGCCTCACTCCTGCCCCTCCACCAAATAGGGTGACCAGATCACCCAAGTCAAATATCGGGACGCGGGGCAAAAAACAAAACAAAACACCCTTCGTCCACAAGCTCTGGAGGGAGGCCCCGGGAGCGCGGGGCCAGGGTGAGTGAGAGTCCGGCCTGGCCCTGAGCAGGCAGGACTCAGTTGGGCGGTAGGGAGAGTAGGGGGGTGGCCCGCGGGGCCAGGGGGCGGCTGTTCTCCCCCCCGGGCAGCGGGACTAGGGAGGAGCCGCTGCTGCAGCTCCCACTGCCGCGGGGAGAGGAAGCGGCCGATGGCCAAGCTCGGCGGCTGCAGCTCTGGCATCTGGGCCCAAACCCCCCGAGCCCGGGCCTGTTGCAGGGACCTAGCAGTGCGCACGCTGCGCCCCGTTTCTGGCCAGTCGCATCTGGGCTGCTGCCCAGCTGGTGCAATCCCGCGGCCGGCCCCAGGGCGGAGGCATCGGCAGCCCAGGCCCGTTCGTTCCCATG